GTCATTAAGTTATTTAAGTTTAGGTCAATTGGTTTTTAGGTCAATAGACCCGCACCCATTAATTTCATTTATACTGAACAGCCATTAGAAGTGGTCGGAGATCTCACCAAAACTGAAGACATCAACACTTTGATCGCAAATACTATCAAAACATTTGGAAAATTAGATGTTTTGGTGAACAACGCGGGTATGGGTGCGGCCACCAATATTACACAAAAAGATGTAATGCAAGTTTGGGATCAGGTCTTCGCTATAGACTTGAGAGCAGTCGTCGAACTGATCCACGAATCGGTTCCACATTTGGAGAAAACTAACGGCACTATCATTGATATCTCGAGTATTGCTGCCTTAGCGCCGGTATTTATTTAATAATAAAAAAGTATTTACTAGTAATATAGTGTAACTCATATTATCTAATAGTTAGGCGAAACCCTGGCCTACGGGCCCGCAAAAGCCGGTTTAGATATGATTACTAGAGTACTGGCCCTCGAATTGGGAGCCAAAGGCATTCGTGTCAATACTATCAAGTAATAAATTATTATTAGCATGGTAATATTATGAAAATGTATTTCTAACACATTTGTTTTTTAATAGTCCGGGTACTATACATACGACTGATATACTGGACCCCATGTCTGCCCACATCTATGAAGTATCCAAGAAAATAGCACCACTGAGACGATTGGGAGAACCATTAGATATCGCCAAAGCCGTGGCATTCCTGGCCTCAAGTGATGCCTCATTCATAACCGGCGCTAATCTGGTGGTCGACGGCGGAGTTGTCTATAATTTTGGTGTTTTAAATACCGATGTTTTGTAAATCTATTTGTTTATCAAACATTTACACAAATTATTAAAAATTTAATTAAATTATAATTACAATTGTATAAAACAAAAAATACATAAAAATATAAGTTAATTTTGTATTTATGAAACTATCATTTACAATTGCCTATTAGAAGTTAATTGAATGTTTGTCAAATAAACTTTTTTGTGGCTTATCACATTTGGAATTTTACGAGTTTTTATTGTGTTTTTTATCTGTATTCATTTCTGTAAGGTTAAATGTTATTTTGTATTTAAATTAATTTATTTATTAAGTGTTTAAATTATAAAAAAAAAGTTTTATGTTATATTTTTAATTTCAACTTAATTAATTTTAATGTCATTTCAACTCCAATGTTTAAGGTACTACGGTAATTAATTTTCACTGATAAACGTTAACATGATAATATGAGTTAATAGTTGGACTTTTAATAGTTGGAGTTAAAAGGATCCTGCACTAAAAATGCACCAATTTACATAATTTTGTATTTAAGAAAGTATTAACTATTTTTGTGTGCACTATTAGTAGTGCCATAATTATCATCAGTAAATAAAGCAATACAAGACTATGTTATTATGTATTATCGTATTGATAATTACTATCAATTTTTCTAAATATTGCTTCATTTCAACCTCAATGTTCAAGGTATTGATTGTATTGCACCAATACTTGATGTCATATCATAATAACTTATAAAATTTAAAGGTTATCTACACTAAAAATGCACCAGTTCATAAAATTGTATATATATAAGAAGATATTTGTAACTAATATGTGTCACAATATTATAAGCTCTGAAAATTATACTGTATATAAGTGTTACTACATAAGTTAATTTGAAAATGAAATTAATAGTATTATTGGCATTGATTTCAATAGTTTGTGCGGATTTTGATATCAAAGACTATAAAGATGTGATAAATTCACGAAACTTTACGG